CAGGTTATGAGCCCTGTCTCGACCATGGACTCGTCTGCTCCCAGCGCCAACTCAAGCCTTTTTAACATCCCGAAGCTTGCCGAAGACGGCTCGAACTGGATAACCTATAAGGAACGGACATTAACAGCAATAGGTGCACGAGGACTCACGAGATATACCGATGGTCGAGCTATAGAGCCTACGCCTTTCATAGTGAGCTCTACGGGGGTCGTTACGAAGCCGGATGGTACAACGCCTACGCAAAAGGAGATTGATGAGCTCGATGCGAAGACTGACGAGTATCAACAAAAGAACTCACTCGTAAAACAGCAGATCTTCTGCACGATCACGGATCGGCTCCTGTTACGAGTCCAAAAGTTAGGATCTGCGTCCGAAATCTGGAAAGAAATATGTCAAATTCACGAAGGCAAAACAGAACTTGTCCAGATAGATCTGAGACGAAGGCTCCAGGAGACGAGGTGCGAAGAAGGAGGAGACGTGAAGGCGCATTTTGCTGAGCTTTTGCGCCTGTGGGAGTCCCTAGCTGGAATGGGGGTTACCGTCGTCGATGTGGACTTCCATGCTATAATTTTAGGGTCTCTGCCCGAATCCTACCGCCCGCTTCTCTCATCCATGAACGCAGCCGCTAAGATCACCAAAACACCTCTATCTCCCTATGAACTCATCACGATCATCACCGAGGAATACGAACATCGGTTACTCACCGACAGACGTCCCAACAAAAGGGGAATGAACAGTGCGCTCTCTGTGAGAACAAACCCGGGGAGGAGCAGGAGCTCTCAGAGCTCAGCCCCACAGTCCAACCCCGACGCACTCTGCACGAACTGCGATCACAAGGGACACTGGAAGAGAGACTGTTGGTGGAAAGGAGGAGGCAAGGAGGGTCAGGGGCCGAATCAGCGACAGAGACAAGGAGGACGCACCCAGAAACACAGTGCCAACGCAGCCAAGGAGCCGGAGGTAAAAGATAATTACGCTTTCGCGACGTCAGATCTAGCAGTCATCGCTAAATCTATGGACGTACCTCCAGACCGCCGTGGAGCTATTGTAGACTCCGGCGCGACATCCCATTTCTGCCCCGATAGGGCAAAATTCGTGACCTTCATCGATATCCCACCGCAGAAGGTCTACACTGCAAACGGCTCTACTGTCAATGCGACAGGACACGGAGATGTTAAGATAGACTTACCATTGGGCCTGAAGCGGACAACTGTCACGCTCAAGGACGTCCTCTATGCCCCCTCCATGGCTTTCACCCTAATATCCACCAACAGGATAGCGTCTGCCGGCTTGGCCGTACTGTTCGAAGGGGGAATGTGCAAGATACTATCTGCTGCCCCCGAACGAAGGACCATCGCGGAAATTCCCCAAGTCCAAGGACTTTACTCGGTGACATCTGAGCGTAAGCATAGAGCCAACGTTGCCGCGACAAAACCTACCATAAACCAACTCCATCGCTCCCTAGGACACGTGTCGCATGTGGCCCTTCTTGACGCAGTCAAGAAGGGCCTAATCGAGGGCATTGACGTTGACCCAGTGCCCGCCGCCGAGTTCTGCAAAGCCTGTGTCAAAGCTAAGTCAACGCGGCAGTCCTTCCCCAAGGAGACGAAGACGTGAGCACTTACCTATGGCGAACTTGTCCATACGGACCTATGGGGGCCGGCGCAGACGACAAGCTTGGGAGGCTGCAGCTATTATATTAGTTTCACGGATGATTTTAGTCGCCAAACGAAGCTGCAGTTCCTGAAACACAAGAGCGAAGCACTCACGGCTTTCAAGGCCTACGAGGCCTGGCTCGATCGTCAGACGCCCGGAACCCGGTTGCGGAAAGTGCGTTCAGATCGGGGAGGAGAATACCTGAGCACAGAGTTCGAAAATCACCTGCGTCAGCAAGGTATTGAGCGCCAACTAACGGTCCACGACTCACCTCAGCAGAACGGTGTCGCAGAACGCCTCAACCGCACCCTGGTCGAGCACGCGAGAGCGATGCTCCTGGGCAAGGATATGCCAAAATACCTGTGGGCCGAGGCCGTTAGTTACGCCACCTGGCTCAAGAACCGCCTACCGTCGAGAGCCATCCCAGGTAGCACGCCCTATGAGCTGGTGCGCAAGTCCAAACCGGACCTGTCTCAGGCCCATGAGTTTGGGGCCAAGGTTTTTGTCCATGTCCTGGAGGCGGGCAAGCTGGAGGCGAAGGCGGAAGAGGCAGTATTTGTGGGGGTGGATGCCGAAAGCAAAGGTTACCGGGTGTACTGGCCGGGTAAGCGGCGTGTCTCAGTGGAAAGGAACATTACCTTCCCACCGATGGAGGTAAGAGATGGTGTGCTGGACGAGGGGGAGTCTGCTGCAGTCAACGAACATAATAGCGGCAATATTAATAAAGACTCACCTAATAGCGTCCAGCCCATCTCCACCAAACTACAACAGCAACCTCAACCATCTACCGGCCAGCAACCTCAACCATCTACTGGCCAGCAACCTCAGCCATCTACTCCTCAGCAACCTCAGCCATCTACTCCTCCTACGAGGGAAACGAGGGCCAGACCACCTCCAGGATATTACGCGGCGCTAAACGAAGGCCAAAAGGCTGCCGTCGCCATGGAAAACCTGTTAGAAGCGTCAGAAATCGACCTCTTAGATGAAGAGGCGCACATTCACCTGGCATTGGCAGCGGTACAACCAGAGCCAACCCTCCAACAAGCCCTGAAAGGCCCGGACGCTGTGGAATGGCAAGAAGCCATAGATTATGAAATCAGTCAACTCGAGAAGCTAGGCACGTGGGATATTGTAGACGCACCTCAAGGCGTAAACATAATCCCATGTCATTACGTCCTGGCCACGAAACGCGGCCCGGACGGCGAGAAACTGAAGCTTCGAGCGCGTCTAGTCGCCAATGGACAGCGCCAGAAGTATGGGGTCGATTTCTTCGAAACCTTCGCCCCCACAGCCAATATGAGCACTATACGTGCCGTGCTAACGATGGCGGCTCAGCGTGACTGGGAGATACATCAGGTGGATGTTAAAAGTGCATACCTATATGCGAGTCTGCAGGAGGAAATCTACATGAGAGCGCCCCCGGGATATCTGAAGGATGGTCAGGAAGGAAAGGTGCTAAAGTTGAAACGGAGCTTACCTGGACTCAAGCAGGCCGGGTACGAGTGGGCGCAAGAACTGGCTGGAGCATTCAACGAAATGGGGTTCAGTCGATCGAAGGTAGACCAAGCTGTCTATTTTAAACACACCTTGAACGAACACGTCGTCATCACCGTGTCAGTCGATGACATGGCCGTCACCGCCAACCATATCTCCCATATCCATCGTTTCAAGTCCGAGCTGCGCACGCACTTCGAAATTACCGACCTAGGGGAACTGAGCTGGTTACTAGGCCTTAAGGTGATGAGAAACCGAATAGCACGCACCTTGACGCTATCCCAAAAGGCGTATGTCGACACGATCCTCGAACGGTTCCACCTGGAAGACGCAAAGATCCTCCACACGCCCATGGAACCAGGCACTGTCCTCTCCATGGAACAATCTCCCGCAACGCACGCCGAAGTCCAAGCTATGCGTGATGTGCCGTATCAACGCGCAATCGGATCATTGATGTATGCCGCTACGAGTACCCGGCCGGATATCGCCTTTGCAGTGGCAACCCTATCCCAATTCATGAGGAATCCAGGTAGACCTCATTGGGAGGCTACCAAACGCGCCCTGCGGTACCTGAAAGGCACCGCCGAATATGAACTCACGCTGGGGTCCAGCGACGGAGGCATCGAGGCCTTTGTTGATGCCGATTGGGCATCCCAGCCTCATAGGCACTCCATGAGCGGGTACATTGTACTGCTCAATGGAGGCCCCGTTTCCTGGAGCGCGTGCAAACAGCCCATTATAGCGCTATCTACGGCAGAGGCTGAGTATATCGCCTTGACCAGCGTGGCACGGGAGGTACTTTACCTACAACTCCTCATGTGCGAGCTCTACGACATCCACAACCTCCCTACGCCCATACTCTGCGATAATCAAGCAGCTATAGCGTTAGTTTCAACAGGCAAGTTTCAATCACGTACCAAACATATTGACCTGCGCTACCACTTCGTGCGCGGACACGTGAAGGATGGCACGTTCAAGATCATCTACTGCCCAAGTGAAGACAACGTTGCGGACGCGTTCACCAAGCCCTTAGCACGTCCCAGACTCCAGAGGTTACGGACATTGATGCGTTTGGATAGCGCTCGAGGGGGAGTGTTGAGAGCCGATGTATCCGAGGAGCATAAGGCAGAGAGAGACAGAGCCGAAGGGGAGAAGGAGAGTACGGCCGAAGAATGAACCACATCGAGTGTGAGCGTCTCCAAACGGAGAACATGGACGACGTGTCAACGTCGGCAATCTTTTTGTTCTTAAGTATATATGTTTTCATCAAAAGTCTTGCTGGCACACTCACCGTATAAGAAGAGCCAGCCAAAGTCGTAACATCTCAGTTTCATAAACGAATACTGAGATGTGAGTTGTTATCCCACTGTAACGTTTGAGTAGAGTACTGACGTACAAGTAGATTCGTACCTGTTTAGGTACAACATTTTGTTAATAGAGTTTCATAAACGAATACTGAGATATTCGTACCTGTTTAGCGTGTCGCGAAGCCTCCCGCTCGTATAGATTCTCCACACTCTTGTACGCATGCATAAACAGGCAATCAATAACAGAGCACTGACAAAACTCGCACTGATGCGAACACCATTGGCAAATCCAACAGTACCATTTAAGAGGCGATTGAGCATGATCGGATGGATCATGGAACCGAGTGGTGTACCGGATGAGACCAGAGACATCACTAATGTACGTTTTCTGGAGAAGTGCTGAGAGACGACCGCGACAGTGGGACCGGACATTAGGCCCATCCCAAACCCAGAAAGGACACCTTGCACGATAAAAGCCTGGTTGTAACCTATAGGTAGCCCATACACAACGAAATTGGTCGGGCTACTCACCAAGTAAAGCTGATCAGGCTTTGTGAAGGATAAGGCGAACAAGGACAGTGATTGGAGCAGCGACCCTACAACCATCAATTGATAACTATCAGTAATTTGTGCAGGAATTAGAGACTGATTACGTATAAATATATGGCAGCTTACAACCAACCTCGGTCGTACAACGGACCTGAGAACAACGTGATATTGACCGAGAGGAATGAGGTCAATGCACCAATCCATCTGACGCTGAGTGAAACCAAGAACTGCGGAGTAAACGCATACTCACTTACGATATTGCAGATGGTGAATGGTTGGTCATGTAAATTCGTGTGTAATAATCTTCCGAGATTGTTTATCAACTTTGGATATGAAGTATCACGCAACTGCTGGGTACCTTGGTAAACTCCAAAGGACGCTATGTATCTGTTCAAATGCTGTTAACTGAGATGCCTCGAACAAGCGAGCTAGAACCAACCCGAAGCCACAAAATTGCACGAGAAAACTAGGTATCGTCGTGATTGTTAGACACAACATACGGGCATTATTGTAGACACGGCTTACCACCCAAAAACAGTCCCCCAGGCCTGAAACCCGCCATCCGGAGGGCCTGATTCTGAACAAGCTGTTTGGGAATTAGATGCCGGTAGGTGTCCTAGCTCTTCCGGATTCTCTTCTTTCTTATTCGTTGTGAACGTATTATGGATTGTGGACTTCATTGACACGGAAGCAAATGAGAGTGAAACGCTTTGCGCCAGTAAATGTTGAGTTTACAGCTTAAGACCAATATTGAAACTTGACCCTGAAAGAGCGCCTCATGGGGCTACGCCGCAGGAAGTGTATTGTATCACATCATCACCAAACCCTTGACAGACCCTTCACGACCCACAGAAGAACCCATTAGGTCTCTCCCTCAGGGTCCATCCCGTGATGGTAGACACCCGATGACATGATAACAGCTGTCATATCAGGGATATACAGGGCTGTGGATTGTTCGGATTGTGTGGCTGACAGCGAAGACCCGCTTTGTTACCACAGGGATAGTGGTTACACATACAAACGACTACTTATGTCACCTAGTGATCAGTGATCATGTCTGGTTACATGTAGTGCTGCCGTGGTCCGGTTCGGTCCGGTTCAGAGGGTCCTTGACGAGAACCAAGAACCGAACCATGGTTTGGTTCTTTAAAATTGTCGAACCCAGAACCAGACCATTGAGAATGGTTCTCAATGGTTCTCAATGGTCCGGTCCGGTTCTTGTCTGGTCCGAACGTGAACCAAACCGAAAATTTTTCAAGCAACGGAAAAAACATTCACAAGACATCTACATGACATTGGGTAGCTAGTCTAACTGCATACCAACTGCATACCCTTCTGCCTCTACTGCTGCTGACACATGTCCATTCTTATAGGCTGCCTTCATCAATTGTAGCGCGGAGAAAGTGGATGATGCAAGTGCGTTGCGGCGCAGAGTTGATGTGATGCCTGCGCTGGAGAAAGCATGTTCAGAGGGAACAGAACTGCCCCTTCGGTTAGTTGACGAAGACAGACCGCAGGCATTGTCAGCATCGCGAATACGAGCCGATGGTTTTGAGGGCCAGCCAGAGCGCCTAGATCCAGCTGCAACTGTTGCTGGGGTGCATCCAGCCTTGAGCAGAATGGAGAAGGTGTCCTTTGCGGATGTAGTGGAAGAGGATGGCTGGGCAGAAGATGCGACCTGGGGCAATGGTACTTTATCGTCAGGATCATTAAAAAAGGTAATTTCAGAAGCATCCTTGAGGGTGCCGTCAGCATTCAGAGCACAGCAGTCTTCAGACATCGTCAGGCAAATAACTCACAGTTTTTTGGTCGGCACCCCGTTTTATGCATGGCACATAGCCTAACACCACAGAGCGACAATATCCAAGGAGATCTGTTAGAGTTGAGAACCGGTGGAGGATCATGACTATCCAGGAAGCATATAGACTAGAACAAGTAGATATCTGTGATATAGGTAAACATATGTCAGAGTCTTGAGAATAAATTGATTAGTACTTACCTTAAAAAAGGCTAACAGTAGCCTGATTAACAAATAATGCAAATCTTGAAGACGGTGTTTTGATGTCGACATGGACACCGACGTCGTCGTGGTTGGTGTCGAAGTCGAGGGAATTCGAAGGTCAAGGAATGGTTCGGGAAGGTTCGGGAAAGTCGAACCAGAACCGGACCACTAGTGAAGGTCCAGAACCCAGAACTGCTTTCCGGTCCGGTTCTGGCTGGTGAGGGAACCATGGACCGAACCACAAAGAACCGGACCAAAAGTCCAGTTCGAACCATGGTTCTGGACCGGACCGCGGCAGCACTAGTTACATGTGAGTCCCCTCAGTAGTCGATATCTGTACCTATCAGCGACCGGTTGCAACCTGCAATACAACCTTGATGCAGCCTGACACTGCAAGTTAAAGTTGTTGTCAACAACGACGGCTTCACACAGGGGTCCCAGACTCACTGATATGTCCACTAGAGTAATAGATAGTACCTTCTTGAGACCTGGCCATCAGGAAAAACTCGAAATCTTGGGAGCCCTGGTGACAGCTACATAGTGCTATATAGCCGCTGTAGTAAAATGTAGGCAAGCAGGCCACTATATAGTTCTACATCAGCTATGTAGCTGACAGTCAGGCTATATAAAGCTACAGGAGGTGCTTCGAGTCGAACTAGTAAATACTTGATCCTGTAGCACACACTTGTATTACATAGTACTATATAGCTTGTGGTAGTCATCAGGGAAAACCTCCTTACGAAAATTCTCAAAATCGCTTATACTCATCACACAATAGTTAAATAAGTGTGTCGCTCACTGAACAAGTTTACAAAGAAGCTGGAACAGAGCTCCAGAACGGTACTACCCGTCCATTCACGAGGTGCTACTGCACCGAAATTTGGAAAAAGATGAACGTCCCTGCGGATGTCCGAGACGCTCTCCATGACGCATCAAACGGCAAATTTTGTACAGCTCATCATGCCATGGTGTGCTTCAGGTTGCTGGAAAGATGTGAACCATTCCACATAAGCAAGGTGGGCGGGTGGTTTAGCAGGTCCAGCAGGGAATAACACATTCGTAGCCTGACTTGTCAGCGTGAAGACGACATGAACTTGCGCAGCACAGTTTCCTTTTGGAATCAAGTCAGATTAACGGCCGTGTTCACACAAATGCAAACACACCATCCATGCCCAACGGTTGCTGAACCACTATATTTCAAACAATGCGCTACGGTCGCTTTTTGAGTCACACAAACACAAGCTAATCATGGTCCCAACCGTTGACAGTAGAAACGCGCGCCAGGCCATAGGTCGACTCCACATCCAGTGTCCAGTGTCCACCGCATTATGAGAATTCAAACACTTCAAAGTCCAATGATTACTAATCAAGACGCATGCCATCAGTTCCCATGGTTGAACTTTTTGACGTTCAATTTTCAACATGTTTCGCTTGCTTCTTGCAACCACTATTAATATTGACATGACTTACTTGCATTTTGCTTGTCCTCTATGTAGCATCTGCTTGACATTTTTTCAGGTCCCGACACTGAAACTGGTTACTACCAGACACACCCTCATGAAATGGTAACATTGCTGGTGAGTACTACCAGACACGCCCTCATAAAGTGCAAAAGTGAAGGTAACATTTCACTAATACAGGATGCAACATCAGGGTAATGAATCAGCTGCCAGTGACGGCCATCGCACCATACCACGACTGATGCCTGCGGAATTTTGCAAGCTAGTATCTGGTCCCGAAAGACGAGGTTAGCGAAAGAGGCCTGGCGCGACGCATGCGAAATCAAAGGTGCCAATGTCAAATTAACACCTCCAGTGGTCAAAATTGTAAGTCCTCTGTTCTTAGTACATGACTGGTCTGATTAATTTATATATTATGAAGCTCTTGCGGCGCACATCACATGTGCGCGGTGAACTCAAAATAAAGATGCGCTCACTTACGAGCTCATTTTTTGGGTTCCAGCCAAGTCTTTCGAGGGATGTGATAGGGCAAAACCAAGACCTGGCAGAATCTTTGAAAAATGGTTCAGCATTTGCCTTCAAGGTACGTAGCACAGTGGCCTGCATGAGCTTTTGAGTCCTGACTGTTGGATAATAGGACTGGACATTGACAGGGCTCTATAAATACGAGCTACTGCAAGATGGTAGCATCACAGGGTTCGGTATGTCGCACTATATTTTCGCAAGTGCCAACCTAACATCTGTGCTTTTAAGTTCGCATGCAGGTGTCGAAGCCCTCACTCTGCTGTCGGCTGCATCCCGGATTGGTGACAAGGCTTTTGATGATGCGATTCACGAGTACCAACTTGAGGAGGAGGAGGGTGCAGAGGCTAACAGGAGTTGAGGCTCATAGATGTGAAGAGGGCGCGGAGGATTGTGCAAGGCATTAGTAGAATCTGTCGGTAGCGCTGTGTTATGTATCTGAATTCAATTTTTTTTCGTGCTATTTTGTGTGCTACTCTATTCCTCTATGTAGCTGCTGGTAGTTCCCTGTAGTAGGTAGTCCTATGAAATACAGGCTACTACTGTAGCGCCTGTTAGGGCTACCTGATTCTACATAGTGCTATATAGCACAATATAGTTACCTCACATTCTATATACAGGGCAGGTAACAACAGAGCTACACGGTCTATCCCAACTATATAGTACTATATAGCCAGCAATGTTTTTGCTGATGTGCAATGCCAATTGCGTACTAGTTATTGCAATACAACAAGCTGCATCAACCTCTCATGAGAAAACACTGGCAAGAGTATAGTGATTCGAGGCGCGTAGACGACGCGGAGAGAGCTAAATGGACAAAGTATATCTCAGTCTCTGGAAACAGACTCTAACATTGGCCAGAAACTATGTACCTAAACGGACAAAGTATCTATGGCTCGTTAGCTTTTGTCAATGGTAGGTAGACGTATGTACTCACATCTCAGTCTCTGGAAACAGACTGAGATGTTCCTACAAAAATGCAAACTCTTATAAGTGCAGATAGAATAGGAATGAAAATTGTAGTCGTATATTGGAGAGCACAAGCCGACGTCAAACATCGCTCGTTCGTCGCTCATTCGGGATGCGCTCGTAACATGCTATTCCCTCATCGTTCCTATCTCGGATCTGTCGGCCAACGACTCAGCGGATCGCTTGGACTCCAACATTCCCCCTCGAGCGCATTCCAAGCTCATCGAGAGTCGAAGCTTCTGAAGGTGAGGACGTGGGAGGGGTTTTGTGAAAGTGTCGGCAACATTGTCGTCAGTGGGGCAGTAGAATAGTTGGAATGTGCCGTTCCTTATGTGGGCACATATGAACACCTCAGGCAGCAGTTTCCGGAGGCAAAAGGTAGGCTTTCAGGCCGGGTTTCTATGTTATGGGAAACCAGCCTGAAAGGCCTATGATTCTCCAATCTAATTTAGGATTCGTTCTAAAAATAATATCATACCTCGTTGCCCTCCCGCCAGGCTGCTCGCATGCTCCACCTCCTGGCTCCAGGATGCCTGGATACCTCGCGCTGCCCTTGAGGCATGGGGACCTCCGTACCTCAATGTGAATTTGTACGTACTATGTATTTTAATTAACAAATAAAAATTTACAAGTTACTTTCTACCTTCATCTCTATGGCTCCACGCTCAGATACTCGTGCAGCCCAGCCCACAACGTCTGGGTTGGGTGTTCAGTTTGTCATGTCAGTCCATGGAAACCAAGGAACAAACGCAAAACCCAGACGTTAGTAGAACTCCCCGGCCAGAAAGCAAAGCAACTGAAGTTGCAGGCCAAATTGGCAACTCTCCTCGCAGGAAAACTAAATTCTGAACAAACGACCACATGCCAGCTGGACATGTTACCTACCGCTGTCTCGTCTGAGGAGAACATGCCTGCCGATGCTTGCGAGGACTTGTTTCTCTTTGAAGATGAAGTCCCACCGCTTACTGAGCCTCAAGACTCGATTCCACCGCTGAACACCTCTGAGTTCATTCCAAATCGCCGCATTCTACCTGACATCGCTGCCGCACGATTATATGACACTTGGAAGATACTGATACCCACTCTCGTCGATGTTCAGCTCGAGTATACTCAGAGGACCGTTGGAAAATTTGTCGAGCGACCTCCGACGATTCTGTCTGCATGTCACTCGCAGAAGTGTGCACAGAAACGCACAACTATGATTGGCTTGTTCTTCGATGGTAAGTCTCAATCTGTGCATCGAATACTTCAAGTCGCTAAAGATGTTTGAGGCTTCACAACCCTCGACATTTTGAGTTGCAGATGTGCTACCGCACCTCAAGTCCTGGTTCTTCACAGTTTATTCCCAACTTCCCCCTCCCAGCCATGCATGGCAGTATCTACTGAGCTACTCACCTTCTATCGAACACTCTTTGAGCGCTCATGTGATGCTGTGAATGCTCTCGCATCTGCCCTGCACACACACTACATCCGCAGAGGTTTCCGCATGACGAATGCTAAGGTATGTGAATCAAAGTTGACTTACCTTCAGATCTGACACAACTTAGGGTGAATTTATCCAAGAACCTTTCTGGCAAAGTCTCGGTCAAGCTATCTTATGGTTTGATGTCTTACAGGTGGAGCTCGAATCCCAGCTAGAATGCGCTGTTCAAGCAAGCCGAGACTTGGTAGATGCCTCTCGAGATCCCCCAGAGCATCCCGCATCATATGCGCCCACTGTAGACGTGGTTCCGCGTGAGCGCTGTGCCACAATCCTTCTTCAGCGTTGTCCTGCTTGTTTTGGGGGGGTCTCATTTGGAAGGCAGCTGGAAGAAGGTGGAGATATTCATGTTGCTACTGATGGGAACTTCCATCATCGACATCGGCGTTCAGCAGGCGATTCACCCCATTTTTATGATCCCTCTTACTTCTTACCTAAAGCTCAGGTTGATGACATTGGGCGTCATATTGATCGGAGTCGCAAGTCTGCACTGAAACCGCATGCACCACTTGTACCCCATGAGGCCATTGACTTATGCGAGAATTCATATGAAGCTGCCGATGGAAAGAAGCAAAAAGCAGCCATGGATAGCTTCGATGACACGGGAGTCATGGCATTAATATGTCGCCACAACATTCCCCTCTTCTTTGCAAACATCGACACTCCAGGCGAGCAGCAGAAATACGCCGTCGCCCTTATTGATCACCTTTTTGTGTTATTACCTCGAAGTGCAACAGTTGTCACTCTGTATGACGTGGGATGTGTTCTCTCACGATCATTAAGTCAGGTGAGTCATCTTTGTGATTCTTTGAACCTTGTTGCTGATCCATTTAAGTACAACATACTTCCCGAAGCTGTGACAAAGCGCTTGCGATTTGCAACAACGGCCATGCATGCCTATGGCCACGAATGGTCGTGCCAACTTGTTCACAACCCACGCATATGCAAAGGCCTTGGCCTTTCAGACGGAGAAGGCACCGAGAGGCTATGGTCAAGATTTATCCGCTTGATAGGTATTCAGCGCTCCTCATCTGTATGTATCCTCAAAATTTTGTTTCATCTCTACTGATGTTCGAGTTACCATAGAGACAGTGTCGGTTATGGCTACTTGACTGACAAGCTGCTGCCATCGGTCTTGAGATGCGTGCTGACCTCAGTGATTGGATCCGGCATTGCCTTAAGCGGGGAATTCATGAACAAGGGACAGCTGCACAGACCACGCTGAGTGAGTGTGATGCGACGATTGAAGATCTGCGACATCAATGGGCTCTGCAGCGACAGTCACAGTTGTCCATCCGTGCTCGTGCATTCTTTTTCTTTCGCATTGTCCAGCCTGAGCCTGATTATGTTCTACAGATGCTCCTGCTCGGCTCAAGAAAGAGCTGGACACCGTGTTTGCCCTACAAGGTGACCTCGATGCCTCTGACAAGGCTCTTCAAGCAACAAGTGAGGTTATTACAAAGGGAAATGTATCCCAACGCACACTCGATGCGATCGAGAGCCTCGAACGAAGTCACCAATGCCTCATGGACAAAGTTGATGTGTTATATGCTTCCCTCAACGTTCATGACAAGTTCCCCGAGCTGGAAGGAATAAACATCAAATTTGTTTGGACACTTCTCTTGGCACGCGACCTCAAGATCAACATTCAGAAGCATGCAATTGGAAGCTTCTTTGAATGGGACAAGCTCGATCATGCCGTTGGTGGCACACAACAAGCATTAGGTAGGGGGCTAGACTTGCTTCATGATGTGTGTTAACACTTTGCAGGGATGAAACTTCACCAGCAGACCCAAAAGGCCATATCGAAGCGACAACCAGCCTTGCTGGCCGCACTACGTAAATTCAATGGATACTGCGAACGCCTCGAAGAACTATACGAACCAGGCTGTGGTATTCCTCTTCCAATGCCTCTCCCCACCAAGCTGAATGAACTCCGCAATGATCAAACACTGATGGAGGATATTTGGATCACACCTTCAGTTGGGGAGGTTCCTCGTTGGCTGGATGATCAGGATATTCGTGATGGGATATGCGCTATGTTAAGCGCGATAGATGCATCGAGGAGCAGCGACGTCTTGGGCTAGAAGCTGACAATCTTTGCAGGTGGTTTGGTGATGAACTCGCTGCAATAGAACTCACCCTGCAGTTGCCTGAAAGTATGTATTTTTGTTGACGTCCATCTTTGACATATGCACTAATTGCTTCACAGACATCAGATTTTCTATCTTACTACGTCAGCGGCAGGAACATCTCCAACATCTTCAAATCCGTTGGTCTAACCCACTTGCGTCATCACTACGGTTTGAGTCCCGTGCAAAACATGCTGAATCGTTAGTGATGCGGATCTTAGGTGCTTCCAAAGACACTTGCGCTTCACTGGATTCCTCAAACA